TGCTGTATCGGATCGTTGCTATGATGTGATTGTCCTATGCGAGACGTGGCTCGATTCGCGAACGCTTTCCAGCCAGGTGTTCGGATCCGATTATGAGGTTTTTCGTTGCGATCGGAATCCAAACAACAGCCGAAAATCTACTGGTGGTGGCGTTCTTGTGGCTGTCCGTTCCGGATTGGAGGCGAGAGCAATCGAAAATGAATCGTGGAACAGTGTGGAACAGGTTTGGACAGCCATTAAACTGGGCGATCGCACATTATTTTTGTGCGCATTGTACATGCCACCAGATCGAGTTCGTGATCTTGAACTCATCGAGACTCACTGTCAATCAGTCTTCACAGTAATGGAGAGAGCGACTCCAATTGATGAGCTATTCATTTTTGGGGACTTTAACCTAGCAGGCGTTTCGTGGAGACCATCCCATAGCGGCTTCCTCTATCCAGATCCAGAACGTTCTGTATTTCATGCAGGAGCTATCGGCCTTCTCGATAACTATAGCGTAGCAACGCTTTCTCAAATTAACTACGTAGTCAACGAGAACAACCGTAGTTTGGACCTCTGCTTCGTGAGCACTCAGGACAATGCTCCGTTCATTTCCACAGCACCTTGTCCACTAGTTAAGCTTGTTCCGCACCACCCTCCTCTGATTGTCACTGTTGAGGACAATCTCGTTCGTGATTTCGATAGTCTTCCTGCTGCGGTTTCTTATGACTTTCGAAAGGCCGACCATCGAAGCATTGTAGATGTGTTGTCAAACATGGACTGGGAGAACATTCTCGATCATGACGACGTTGAGGCCGCTGCGCAAACTTTTTCTCATGTCTTGTCATATGTCATTGACAGACACGTCCCGAAAAGAATTCAACGCAAAGACTCTCACCCTCCCTGGCAGACGATTGAGCTGCGTAGGTTGAAATCGATCAAGAGAGCAGCATTGAGAAGATTTACGAAGTATCGCACGCTTCCTCTGAAACATCACTACGTGAGGCTTAATCACGAGTATCAGCGAGCCAGTCGTCGATGCTTTCTGCGATTTCAACGAGGTATTCAGCGTAACCTTAAACTTCACCCGAAATCCTTCTGGAACTACGTGAACGAGCAACGCAGAGAATCTGGCCCATCGTCAATGGAATTGAACAGTGAAGTCGCTTCCACTCCGCAGGATATTTGTCGCCTTTTTTCTGTCAATTTTGCCAGTGTGTTCACTGATGAGAGACTAAGTGACGACCATGTTTCCCTCGCAGCCAGGAACATCCCACTAAATGGTCAAACGCTGAGTGCAATTGATGTCAACGTTGAGATGATTTCTAACGCTGCAACGCAGCTCAAATCGTCCTTCAACCCTGGACCCGATGGAGTTCCGTCCGTGTTTTTGAAGAAACATATTGCTTGCTTGTTAACTCCACTTCACCGTCTATTCCGGATGTCTCTCTCCAGTGGTATATTTCCATCCTTCTGGAAATGTGCACACATGTTTCCTGTCCACAAAAAGGGAAGCAAACGAGCCGTGGATAACTATCGTGGAATTACATCGCTGAGTGCTGTTTCGAAACTATTCGAGCTTGTTATTATGGAACCGTTGCTCTCTCACAGCAAGCAGTATCTGAGTGCTGATCAACACGGGTTTACTGGCGGTCGCTCTACAACCACCAATCTGCTATGCCTCACATCCTACATTACCGATAGTATGACTGAACGGGTACAGACGGACGTTATATATACCGATCTATCCGCGGCATTCGATAAGTTGAATCATGACATTGCGATTGCTAAACTTGACAGGCTTGGGGTGAGCGGTAATCTCTTGAGTTGGTTCCGTTCGTATCTTACTGGTCGCCAACTTATGGTTGCTATAGGAGATTGCAAATCAGCTAGCTTCTTTGCCACATCAGGTATACCGCAGGGAAGCCATCTGGGATCGTTGATTTTTCTACTCTACTTCAACGACGTGAACCTGGTTTTCGAAGGACCTCGATTAGCATGTGCAGACGACCTCAAAATATTTTTACGAATTTGCTCGATCGCTGACTGCCACAATCTTCAACATCAGCTTAATGTCTTCGCCAGTTGGTGTACTTTAAATCGAATGGTAGTGAACCCAGCAAAGTGCTCTGCCATAACGTTCTCACGAAAAAAGCAACCGATTGTATTCAGCTATGACCTGCTTGGAACGACACTCGAACGCGTGAATCAGGTGAAAGACCTGGGTGTGGTGTTGGATTCACAGCTAACATTCAGGCAACACATTTCTTATGTCATCAATAAGTCGTCTAGGACTTTAGGATTCATCTTCAGGATAGCTAAGAATTTCACCGATGTCTACTGCTTAAAATCTCTTTACTGCTCCCTCGTACGATCGACGCTTGAGTATTGTTCTGCGGTTTGGAATCCTAATTACAACAATTGTGCCGAGAGAATCGAATCTGTTCAACGTCGCTTTCTTCGTTTTGCGCTTCGTAGACTGACCTGGAGAGATCCGCTTCAGCTGCCCAGCTACGAGAGTCGCTGCCAACTGATAAACCTTGAACCTCTCCGGATTAGAAGGGACACCAACAGAGCTTTGATTATCGCCGACACTCTACAGGAACGAAGAGATTGTGAGGCTATCCTAAGGCAAATTGACCTAAACGTGCAACCCCGACCACTCCGTAACAACCTTATGCTGAGACTACCACTGCGTCGCACGAACTACGGGACATATGGTGCGATTTGCGGACTACAGCGTGTGTTCAACAGAGTCGCATCTGTATTCGACTTTCACCTCACACGTGATGCGCTTCGTCGGAGATTCTCATCTGTTTTCGCCGGCCGCAGTGACTGACAGAGAAAATTAGTGTATTTACATTTATGTTTTTTTTTTTACATTCTTTGTTTTTCTTTCTGTGATTATTTGACATGTAATTTTACTATTATTATTATTATGATTAGTATTATTAACATCATTTGGGCTACAGCCAGCCTGTTGATGTATGGCAACAATAAACAATATCATTTTCCAGGATGGTTTCAAAAACTGGCTGTGTTGGTGTTAGATTATATTAGATTAGATTAGATTAGAACTTTTGAATTAATTTTATACATTGGTCTGCCAATATATCTAATTTCTGCTTGTTGGTCACCAATTGTTGAGTTGAGGTAAAAGATCTTTCAGCGAATTAGCTTTGATTAATTTCAAATGAAGGTCATTGAGGACATCGATAACTAATGAATAGCTGAGTTTTTTTTTTTTTTTTTTTTTGTAATGACGTCTACATTGAAGCTAAATGTAGGCATCAATAGATTGAATGAAACTTAGTTCAATGAAAATGTCATTTGTCAAGTTAAGGACAACAATCGTTTCAACCCTATGCTTTGTGTTTCAAACTGATATTGAATGTTATTGAACGTCAATTTAATAAAAATTAAAATTATCTAGAAAAATCTACTTTTTTGTAAAGAGAAACTCGTCAAAGCTACCATTGGAGTGTAATGAAATGCTATCAAGATTTCTCTTGATATCAATCACCAACCAAACATTTTTACCCCAGTGATCAATTTTCCCTCGGATCACAGGAGTTAATTTTTTTTTGTGGTGAAATTCATATTTCATATCTTTATGTGATTTTCTTCAGTTTTTTTTTTAAACAAAATTTGTTTTTTTTTCATATCAATATGGTAATTTTCCTCTTACCATCTTACCATTTGAAATTCAAACTTTGATAGCAGATATTATGGGGCCCTCTGAGGACTACCCTTGTATATGTGTTTTTCATAACAAAAAAATATATTTTATTGTATAGATTTCAATTTAATAAAGCTGACGTTAAGTAGCATACAATATCAACATCCAAACAAACGATCATAGGATTGCAACGATTAATGTAGCATTTTTTACTAAACTAAGTGTCAATGAATTCGAATTATTTAATAAATTACGGTAGAATGTTCCAAATATCAAGAAATCCCGGGTTTTTCGCAACATTACCAGTGATTTTGATCGAAATTGACTACATTTAGGCGCAACTGTGCATTTAAGGCCTCTGTTTTTGGCGGTTCTGTTGAAAATACTTTTCACACAAGGGTTTTGGCATCTGAATCGGATTCAGGGAACCCACATTTAATAAGAACATATGATCAATTGCAACCCATAGCGATATTTTCAAATTTTAGATTTCAAAAATTTCCAAACAATTATCAAAACATCCAATATTTTAAGAATTCATGTAGGACGACGGAGTCATCAAAGCTACTGATTAGTTTTTTAATTTAATTTATTACAGAAATTTATTTGTGATCAATTTGTCCTCATATTATGGTACCCTTCGCAATTTCACAAGTCATAGTTAAGCAGAAATTTATAAATCTCGTGATTAGTGCTCTTGAAATTGGGAAGTGTGGTAGGATTAATTGACTTTACTCAAACTTTTAAAAATTGCAAAATTGTGGATGGTTTTGTAATGTGGGCACATTTCACATGTGATTGGTGCATTAGAAAATGAAACATCATGACTTCGAAATGATCTTATGGCCATATAACATGCATGCAAATTATCAGCAAGTAAAATGTCACCAAAATAGGCTGGCCAGAGTACTTTAAAGAAAATTCATTACATTCATTACAAATGTACCATATTCCTTGTGGATCAACTATGCATGAAAACTCTTATGTACGTGCCAAATTGGTTCCTTCTCAGCAACCTGCTCCATCTCAAGAATATACTTCGTTTTAAACAATGCAAAAAATGAACAACCCCGTTGCCCTTTTTCCATTCCATTCCGGAAATATGCTACCGCAAGTGTGCGGTGAGCCAGAAAAGAGAACACGTCATCCTTGTAAGCCGTAAAATTGAACATTATTTACTGAGTTGCAATCCTCCTTTGTACATTTTTAATCATTTGTTTACCTAAATCTATACCTACTATTCTAACTATACTGATTACGAACCAAGCAAACCTTGACTTTACGCCGCAGCTTCAGAAACCAAGCGATAAAGGAGGAAATCAATGCCTGCTTGACCTACCTTAACTTTCCGTCCACGGCGAGCCGCAATGGACCGAGACTGACGCCGTATCGCCTCCAGTGAGCCCTTTTTATCCGTGGGCTAGGTCTCGCGTCCTCAAGCACGTGCTACTTTTGCCAGGCGGAGACAACCTCCAGTCAGTAGTCGACCAAGCGTCTCCACTTCCGCGGTTATTGTCGTCGGTTGCTCTTCAAATCCTGAATTTTGGAAACACGGGAAAGAAAGTGAGGAAGTAATTCATCGTTATTAATGGAAGAAAAAGGCCTAAGGGCTTTAAATTACAAGCATTTTGATTAAAATTTTCCGAACCTGATTCTTTCCAAGTTCCTTTGATAAGGGTAGAATGGACAAAATAATCAAATTCTGTTAATTCTCCAGAGGCTTCTTTGCTTCTGACCAACGTCAACCGTACGAACGTAGCAAGTGTGCTTCTTCGTATTCGATCCTTTTCGATAAGACCGGAAAATGTTCAATAAACCTTGGGGAAAACCTTCTACCTGATATTGCCACATCGCACACACGATGGTAGAATTTTTTTTCGATTACGCAACCTTCCCAAATAAACCTTTATGAATGATGAGGGCAATATCTTTTGTTGTGTTGCATAATCACGATCGCCCCCAAAGGAACGATATGTACCAAGGTCGCCGGAAAAAAAAGTATCTTACTTTAGTTTTATTACCTTTGGGTATTCAGCCGACAAGACGTACAACGGAAGATACACCAAAGGATAATTTAATTACGACAACCATGTAGTCTGGCAGAGTCAAAATTCATTGGCAGAACAGAAATCAAATTCAACTTTTGCTTCCATGGCAGCAACACCTCCATCTGGCGATGCTCGTTCTTGACAATGAAGAAACCACGGCCCACTTGACCTAACCCAAATGTTTCCTGTTCTTTTTTCATTTATTTTTCACGCTGCGCTGGTAAACAACATCCAGCAAGGGTGGAGAAGCTGCCACTTTCGCGCGAGTAAGATCTCGTTCGTTTACGGAAAAGAGAGCGCTGTGTGATGCCAAAGCAACCGCAGAGGCTATTCCCATAGCCAACCATGATGCGCTCCACATCATACCGTCGAGCGTCGCTTCGTCGTTAGAAGCGGTCTCGGAAGAGGTAGGCACGGCGAAAGAAGGGTAATTTAATTTCTCCAGTGTTTCATTTTTGCTCCAACGGAAATCTTGTTTGTTTTTGCCGGTAACGTTCGTTTGCTTGCTTGTATGCTGAAGTGTGTGTTTTTTACTAATTCTGACAGAATTTCAGGTAAAAGACCTGCTCTCTGAATAATTCAGTGATATTAAGAATGCAATAAAACTATATCTCGAAGAAGTCTTCACTAATGTTTTGAGTAAAAGGAGCAGTGTTACAATTTGACAACGTACTACGTGAGTCGTTGTGAATGAAAGATTTTACGCGATATTGTGAGATAGGGTTGATCGATGAAGTCAAGTTATGTTTAGATTTTATTTTAAGAGAAGATACTGAAAAGCATACATGATGAGTACACATTTAGAAAAACTTCAAGGGACAGCCCTATGGGGTTGTACGCCATTGTGACGTAGGACTACGTGGTCTTATATAATAAATGTTACTTGTCAACTAAAGCAGGAGCTTGTGTTTTGTGTAGGAATAGGAATTTGAGCGGGGTTTTCTCTATTTATACTCTTTAGTATTACTATGATTGCCCTGAAAAGAACCTTTCGATATGAATATAAGTTGGGTCAGAAATTTAACTCTTTTGGAAAATCTTGGTATCCCTGAAAAGGGCCGATGGTAGTACAGGCTTAAAGCCTTTGGAAGATGATGATGACGCGTAGGCAGCTGGATCTGCAAATCGGACCGGACAATCCCATATTCTTCGGTTCAATGAATGGGCACTCACAAGAGTCTCGGCTAAAGCTCCTCCCTTCTGTATATGGCGATGAGTAATCAAAATGTTACACAATTACATCCTTCCTATTCGCACACGCCCGAAGATCGGAGGCGAATCCCAACCAACAATTCAGAGTCAAAAATAAGCATATATAAATTGAATAAATGCTGTACAACAGTGTACAATGCCGGGTTGTCGAATTATGTGCTGAAAAAAGCTCATTGAGATCGATAGATGCACCTTTACTCCGCTGTTTGCTCTGATCTGATTAATTTACTTATTAAAAGCCTTATAAACGTTCACTGTCCGTTCTAAAAACAAACTGAATAAGTGTAATTTGCACATACATCGACGTTTCAAATCGACACTTTTCAATTGATTTAAAAACATGCTTTATGAGGCATCTACTAAATGTTTTCTAACTTTATTATTAAATTGCAATGCATTGCTTTACAATATTGCTGAATGCATACGACTTTGCGTCCATGTTGTAATCGCATGCTTTGTAAATGCATTATAAACGACGTATTAGATTCATTATTCCACAATACTGGTTCAGCCCAACAACAAGGCGAAATCAGTAGAATAGTGGTTACCATTTCCGCTTTCCAAGTGGAAGGTCGCGAGTTCAATCTCAAACTTAACCCTTGTTTTATTTGTGTTCTTCACCTAATTAATTTAATTTAAATTAAATAAAAGCAGGGTTGCTTCCACTCACTTGCTATAAAAAAAAATATTTTTCGGAATTATGCAATCATTAGATGTTATAATGATACGTTGTACTTATAAATAACAAGAAGAGGGTGTAAAGTATGTGTTTGATTTATAAAACCTGTCAATTTCGCTTTCAAAGCGTCATTATCAGCGATCTTATGATTCGTGAGCGTGAGCTCAGAGTGAGCGCTCACGAGTCGTAAAATCGCTGATTGTGACGCACTGAAAGCAATATTGACAGATTTTATGTGTCAAACATATACTTCATGACCTCTTCTTGTGGCTTACAAGTACTAATTAGTATAATACTATTTCATGATTTCATAATTCCGAAAAACATTTTTTTTATAGCAAGTGAGTGGAAGTAACCCTGAATAAAAGTAATCATCGATCACATCATTCGCGATAATGAATTCACTGTTATAATTTAAAAAATAACCCGGCATCCTTTCCTCTAAATTGGAGAGGTTGTTACCGTTTGGGTACTTTGCCCTATGGAAAAAGCTCGAGCAGAGCGATAGCAGTGCTATAAAGAGCGAGCACTCAACCGAACGAGACAGCAATCCAGTAGTATACTGCTGTTCGGTGCGCTCATGGCTGAGAACCATGATAGTTTATAATCAGTAATTTTTGATCTAAAGTTTGCTTAGAATTAATGATATTATCAGTCATATTGTTGCAAAAACTAAACAGTGAATGAATAGTAGAGCACTAATGGCTCATTCATATACATAAAACAGATAGGAATTAGGGAACTGAATTACATGAACTCCAGTATGAACGGTCGAATTAAATACAGAAACATACCAACTGTTATACACCTACACTTAGCATACAGAAAACAACACCCACCACCCGGATCATGGAGGAGAAGGGAAATTTGGAATGGGACTAATGGATCAAGAAGGAAAGGGACATTTTGGGAAAAGGGAAATATATGGTCTGCTACCGGTCCGAAGAATAGCACTAATTCTTTTCCACGCCAACCTTTGAGAGAACACGTTCACCAAGTTGAAGAACAAAGTGTAAAAAAATAGTGAACAGTCAAATACGGGTGGAAAAAACAAAGCTGCCTAATCTATTGAAACCGTAGAATCAGGACCCATTGAGTTTTACCTCAAAACCGGGTGGAAAGCCTGAGTCAGGCCACGGTCTGTGAAATCAGCCCGAGAACGCACTAGGCCAGGTAGTGCTCGATCGACCGGCTATACGTGCCAACGAGCCGACGTTAACCTTGGTAGGAAACCTGGTACCGCGAGGAGTTCACAGCGACAGAACCTCGTGCCATCCTGCACTGATACCACTGTCCGTGGCAACCGTGCCATTCATCGCACTCAACCAGCAGTCCCCTGCGTCCAGCGCAAGTGACGCCGACGCCGCCGACGTGCAGCAATATCAGCGATCATCCGATCGCAATCGTAGCCGCCCCGTCCGATTCCCCGCAGCAGAGATCCACGTGCCGACACACACACACACATACCCCCAGAATTTGTAAGCAGGTTTTAATTAATAAAAGTTAAATAGTGAAATATTAGGTGACCGTGTTTGCATTTGCTGATCAGTGTCCCCTATTTGTCCGGAGCCGACCTTGAGAGCTCCGTCTCTCAAGCTCGAGCTAGTCACCGCAAAAGAGGCTGGTGGATAGCCCACCCCGTCTGGTCCCCGTGGCTTTAGACCAGGGACCTGGGGCATTGTAGTCTTATAGAGAGAGAGCAAACGTTGTGAGTAACAAGGTGATGTGGTTAAATTGGGTCTAATTTAAAACAACGATGAATGAATTTATCATTCCCAGAGGACCTTGAACGAGCTAGAGTTGCGATCTGGAGTGCTGATAGGTATTCAGTTTCAAGCTAGCTTTTATTGATTATTGAGCTGCCCCCCTAGAATAGCTCAGATGGAAAGGCAAGCGGCTAGTGATCGGAAGGGAAATGGTTTGAATTCCATGCAACGATGTATGTGATAATTTGTTTTTAAATATATGTGTGGTGCTAGGAAAGAAACATGAAAACGATCACTAAAGAGATAACCCTAACCCTGTGTCCCATTCTTATTTTCTGGTAAATTTTCCCGCAGTTGAATAATCGGTTAATAAATGTATAATAGTATCTAATTAAACGATACTTAACCTGATAATCAAGCATATAAAGCATCGCGTTTAAGGTAGCAATGATGTCCAAAAACGCTGTTTAATCAAAAACATTATCGTACAACCGCTGTTACAGCTCATGTAAGTCAAATAAAAGCTTTTCGAATTACCTTATAAAACACCAAGAAGTTCAATGTTGTGGTTGAATAGATTCTCCAGATTTGGGTGAACAAAGCCTGAACAAAAGTTATTATTAAAAATAGTACAAGTATTATTAAGCATGCAGTTGAATAAAATCGTGAAGAAGTCCTTTCTTCTATAGACAATTGTTTGTTGGGAATGCCACTTCGACTTGTTTCGTCTACTAACGACTCTCTGATTACAGTGTTGGGGATGCAGCATATGCATGTACGTAATAGGTGGATTTGTTAGTTATTTCGACGCTTTTGGGCAATGATTGACAATTACTACTTTTTCAATAGTTTTTTGCTGAAAATCAATTATCAAAAGCCTTATCGTCGATG